AAAAGATTTTAGAGAATACTAACCGTACTGAGTATTACATTTAAAAAATGATATTTGATAGGTATGAAAAAAACTTAGTCCAAGCACGAAAAAATGGAATAAAGAGAAGCCTGGTGACAAGTATTGGAGCTTCTATGGTGTGGCTGTGTATATATGGAAGTTATGCTTTAGCATTCTGGTATGGTGTCAAATTAATCATAGAGTCTCGTGAAGCTGGAAACAATGAATATGTCCCAAGTACTCTGATTATTGTAAGTACATTCTGGTTTATGCTCTAATAATTTTAGCCTGAACATTTTCCTCTAAAATATTATATTTGTATTGAAAACATGTTACATAATGATGTTGGAATAAAAGAGAGAAACAAATTGCCAAGATTTTACCTTCTTTCATCATGTTCCTTTTTGAAGTCAAGTATTCTATAACTCAAAGTATCTATTCAATATGTGGAAACTATATGTAACTTAATATGTATGCTGTTGAGTACTTTGTGTCTTAAATACAGAAGGGTAGTATCATCATTATTTATAATAAACTGTTTTTATATATATCCCGAAATACAGTAGGCACAAGAAGTAAGAAATCTTACAAAACTTTAGTAACATATTTTATTTTATTAAATTGTATATGTTACACTGATGACGAAAACATATTAGTTAGAGAAAGAAAAGACTCCTGTTACTCTTAGTTTCAAAACTGAGGACATAAAGTAAGAACTTACGATAACAGTTTAAGTTCTGTCTTATTTGTTAGGAACATAATATTAAATATGAGTGTTCATTTTCTATTTGATAGGTTAGAATGAATTAACTAAATGCAGATGATAAGATGGATTGACAACACGTACACATAAAGTATTCTAAACCATTTGAAACCTCAAACCACAATGTACTTTAACAACGGATAAAAGTAGGGGATTAAAATCATCATCAAAATGTAGCTTTACAATACTAGAAAACAGGAATAAGAATTTCACATAGCATAGTAAAGAAAGACATGTACATAAGTCACAAAAGCACAGGACTAAAACAAATTGCAAATAACTGCATTTACAGAATTGTAAATCTTATAATTTTGGCTTAATTGAGAGGAAAATGTGTGGGTTTACAAATATAATAGTAGAAGTATATTAAAAAGTATCTGTGCTAGATATTTAAAGAAGTGATGTCATGTAACCAATCTGATAAGTACAGCATTAGAAACCCAGAAAAGTTATAGCATAGTTAAAATATACATTAGAAATACAGAAGAGTCGTTAAACAGTATAGTATAGTTCTCTTGCTACAGGTAACGTTGATTTGACCTAAATCTTGACCCCATATTGACCTATGGAGTTTCAATATTATAACGTTTAGTATGTTTTGAATATCTTAATGAAATTTTGCAAGCTCTCAGTAAGCATTACAAGCTTTTTATAGACAAAAAAAAATCAAAGTTTTTAACGAAGTATTTTTACTACAAGTCTCTCCATGATTATATGGAAAGTGTTGACTGCTCCAAGTGTAAAGTGATTTTCCTGTTAAGATTAAAAATACTTTTCTTGATCTGAAAATTATCAAATTTCATATGGATACTCTTCAAAACCTTCTAAATAAATTTCAAAATTTCTTTTCAATAAAACTCTATTTTATCTGTTATTTATACAGGGTTTGTTAAATTGACTGACCTTGTAACCACAATAAAAAAAAAGTAGGAAATAAATGTAAATTACCCTTTTTTCTTTCTATAATGACTTCAGTTTGTAACAGGAAACTACAATGTTTTATATTAAATAGCTTAAAGCTAGTGATAGTATACATCTATTTCTACTTAAATTTTATTGTTTTATTGCCCTTTGAACTAATAACCCTGCCATACAAGTTGTAAATTACTTAGTGAATGTGTAGCTCATGTTCCTCTATCGAATTATGTAATGCAGGAGCTACTCATGAGTAGACTTCATGAAAAATTATTATTATTCTTTATTTTACCTAATCTAACTTAATTAGTTTCTGATTTTTAAATTTTGGTTACTTGAAAACAAGAAATATAATACTTACCTTGGTCTCTTTTTTTTTTGTTGTTGTTGTTGTTGAGACTTAATTCTACTTTTTTATAATAATAGTAACTAGCAGAGACCCACAAAACATTTCTGGCCAAATTAGTATCTTTATCGTAACAGTACTTTTTTAAATATAACATTTCTAGCACAATAAAAACGAATTGTAATCATAGACAACGAAATGTGTAAATCCACTTGTATATAGGCTGTACTTTATAAAACATTAACTTATTTTAGGCCTAAGTTTGATAAAGAGATAAATTAACATTGTAACCTGTGTAAGTTTTTGTTACTTTAGTTTAGTTAGGACAAAACTTTATTGTACTTAATACTATCGATGAATAAACTTATAATGTTATTCTATGACCTAACATCAAACCTTTTTTAAAAACTTTGATAAGTTTTGAATATTCTGTTGTACAAAATGGTTAGTAAAGTATATTTACATTTCCCTTTTGTTTTTACTTCTTGTTTGCCTGAGCAGTATTATAATGAGTAATTCAAGTTAAATTCCATACTTCTTGGAGGGGTGATAAATAGAGAAGAGGGGATACCTAGAGAGCAAACATCACAATTCTCACACTAGGGTGAGAATGGGGAATTTTTGAAATATATCATTACAAAATTAAGAACTAAAAACTTATGTAAGGTAAAAAATTGATATATTAACTATGTTTTATGCCACGTTTGTTCATATACTATGATAATAAAGTAGTTTAATTAAATTTTGAATGTAACTCTAAAAAGTCATGACATTTGCACTTTGATTTGCCTGTAGTGAGAAGGTTAAAAATATGGTATTATAAACTCATAACAGTTGTTACAAAGCACATTTGAAGTTTACATTAGAAATATGGAAAAGTTGTTACAAAACATAATTGAAAATGACATTGGAAATACAGAACAGTTATTACACAACATATTTGAAAGTTTCATTAAAAATACAGAATAGTTCCTACATAGCATAGTTTAAAAACATAGTATTATAAATTCGTAACAGTTGTTTCAAGGCATATTTGAAAAATGACATACGAAATACAGAAAAGTTTTTACATAACATAGTTGAAAGAGTATAAAGTTATAGACTCGTAACATTTGTTATGTAACACCATTTGAAAGTACTTTAGAAATATAGAACAGTTATTACATACCATAGTTTAAAAAGTAGTATTATAAACTAAGAATAGTTATTATATTGGATAGCTGAAAAATATAACAATAGAAACTTCTAACAGTTGTTACAAAGGATATTTGAAAAGTACACTATCCTACCAAAAGTCATGGGACACACCTCTGATTGCAGGAAAATGAATGTGATGACGAAATATGCAAACTGTTTGGCCTATAAGGGTGATCAGCAGTTCGTTCAGAATTCATTTCGAACTTGTACACTGAACGATAAGTACTCGGAAAGAGCTAACAGAGTTTCGGGGGGGGGAGGATAGTTGGATATCATTTGGGGAAAATATCTGTACATACTATTACTCAACATTTAAACATTCCCAGGTTGACAATTGGCAACGTGTTGAAGAAATGGAAGTCCACAGGTGACAGTGAGCCCAAGAAATGACCAGGTAGGTGTAAAATACTGATTGACAGGAGCCGACGCTCTTGAGAAGGCTGGTTACCTCATCTTGCCATCCAACTTTAGAGGATCTGTGTTTGGAGATACGAGCAGCCACAGGCAATCCTATAAGTGTTTCCACGACACATCGAAAGCTGCAGTCCATGAATTGTCATGGAAGAGCTGCCGCCCGCAAGCCATTGATAACAAAAACAAATGCATACTGTCGATTGACATGGGGCAAGGCACACCGAACCTGGATCATGGATCAATGGAAATCAGTCTTGTGGAATGAAGAATCATGCTACATGCTCTTCCAGTCTGATGGATGTGTTTGGATATGGAGAATGTCTGGAGAACTCTTATTACGTGAGTGTGTTGTCACAGTAGTGAAGTTTGGAGGGTGCAGTATCATGGTCTGGGTGTGCTTCTCGTGTATGGACTAGGTTCACTGGTTGCAGTGCATGGATCCATGAATGCTGAGTCCTACATTTATGTTCTGAACAATTCTGTGTGTCCTACATTGTGGCAATTTTATGATACCAGCCCTTACATTTTCCAAGAATTGTGAACACGTGGTTTGATGAGAATAACATTGGAAAATTGCAGTGGCCAGCACAGAGCCCCAACCTTAACCCGATAGAACATCTTTGGGATGAACTGGAACATAGAATTAGAGCAAGGCCAAGATGGCCCTCTTCAGTAACAGAGCTTAACTAATGCCTTAAAGGAGGAGTGGAGTACCTTACCACCAGCTTTCTGCCAGAAATTAGTAGACAGTCTTCCACAATACATTGAAGCAGTCATTAAGGCCAAAGGCAGGTTAACACACTAATAATTTCTAAGAATAAAGACATATTTTATTCATAACCATCCGTGTCTTATGACTTTTGGTATGGTAGTGTACATTAGAAGCACAGAACAGTTATATGTTACATACCATAATGTAAAAAATGTTGCATAAGAAATTTAAAATAGTTATTATGTAGAATAGTTGAAAAGTATGTTATACATACAATAGTTCTTGCATATAATAGTTTAAAAGTGTGTTACAAATACAGAACAATGTTACATAGTATAGTTGGGAAGTATAGTAACAGTAGCTTAGAGCAGTTGTTGTGTAGTTTAGTTGAAAAGTATAATAACAGGATGTAGTTTTAAGCAGTATGGAGAAAGTTTTTGTGGACTTGTCCTACCTTGTATTTCTTGTTAATAATGTTTTTGGCTCCATGCTAAGTCCTTCAAATTTTTTTCTTATTATGGGTTTTATATGATTTAGTATATGCTTTCCTAGTTCTGCTAGTGTTTATTCCTTAACCTCAGTTAAAACTTGGCTTTTCCATTTGATTACTAGATTTTTTTTTAACTTTCTTGAGTATTGTTCTTTGTCTAAGACTTTGTATTTTTCCCATTCAGTCTTTGTGTTGTAATTGAGCAATTTTTAATGCTTGATTAGATTGTATTTTAACTTGTATAAAAGTTAAGTTCATTTACAAACATACTTCTGGTTCTTTTGATATTTCCTTTTATAGATTAATAAGTTGTAATATATATATATATATATATAAAATTAAGGACTTAAAACAAAATTCTACATAGCTATTATTTTTAAAACCTAAAACTTAGCCTACATACTTTATTAAATATATTTCACACACAAATACATCTCTTATCATGTCTTAACTCAAAAAGGGATTATCTTTCTAGCTTTTTCTTATCTGTTCAAATTATGTTTCCAAAACACACCTCACACATAGCTTTATCCCGAGAAAGGTTCTCTTATTTGCCCATCTAAGCATTGGTATTAATTCTACCTCACTTTCTCCAGTCTTTACGCCCCTTTGATCTGCCCTTAGTGATTTTAATCTTACGACTCTCTCCACTTAT